AAGTGCTAAGAAAGAAATGGGGATGGGGACATGTAATCAGGAGCTCCTTAGATAAGGTGGTCTAGGAAGTCCTCTGAGGTTATTATTTCAGCTGAGACATAATAGAAGGAGTTAGCCATGTAAAGAGAGAAGTAGGTATGTATGTACATAATAAATGTGTGTGTGTGTGCACACACAGTATATGTGAAGTATATAGGAGGAGGAGAGGTAGATAGGGGGCATTCCAGGTAGTAGGAAAAGGGCCTGGCAGTATCTGCAGACTGAAAAAGACTAACAGTATAGTAGCAGTATAGCAAGCCAGGAGAGTACCATGAAATAATAGTAAAATGGTTGGAGCTAGATCATATTGGGAATTATTAGCCAGAATAAAGCAATTTGGATTTTATCCTCAATGAGAAGCTTTTGAAGAATTCCCAGCAAAAGAATTGTACTTCATTAGATCAAATCTTCAAATTATTTTTTAAAAGAGGAATGGATGGTCTGGTGAAATCTTCTTGTGTCATCATACATAAAGCATGCTATATAAAATAAGATTTACACATAAACAAATTTCTTTGGACACAGACATCCTACAATTTGGTTACGGAGGAAGAAACAATCAAGTTAAACAAAGAATAGTTGAAGAAATAGTTGGGAATATTCAGCCAGAAGATAGAGATGATACCTGAGGATATGGTTCCAAAATATAAAAAAGAAGCCCAATAAGAGGGAGACAAATTTAGGCTCCATAATACAAGAAAGAACTTTTGAAGATTTCTTTTTTTCTTAATTTATTTATTTTTGTGAGAGAGGGAACAGAAGATCTGAAGCGGGCTCTGTGCTGACAGCAGAGTCTGATGTGGGGCTCAAACTCACAAACCATGAGATCACGACCTGAGCCGAAGATGTATGCTTAACTGAGTAACCCAGGTACCCCAAAAAAGAACTTTTGAACACTAATACTCTTTATAAAAATTAGGTAGTTTTATTCTAGACAATGAAATAGAGGTCAATGAAAATGGTTAAGCTAAACACTGCATGACTATTTGTCAAACGTAATGGTAAAGAATCAAACATATGAACTATACAGATGAACTTACTGGCCTCTTTTAATACTTTAAAAAAAAAACTTCATTTATTTCTAAAAGAGAGCGAGTGAGCAAGGGAGGGTCAGAGAGAGAGAGAGAGAGAGAGAATCTGAAACAGGCTCCAGGCTCTGAGCCAGCTGTCAGCACAAAGCCCAACGCGGGGCTTGAACCCACGAACCTTGAGATCATGACCTGAGCGGAAGTCAGACGCTTAACCGGTTGAAACCAGGCACCCTCCCTTTTAATACTTTTAAGATTCTTCATCCAACTGTAAATAACACTGAAATATGTGAACAATGGGGATAATATTGCAAAACAAGATGGCTTTGTGAATTCTAGGTTTTCTAGGACATCACAAGTGGTATTTGATTTTATAATGATGGTAAGAGCATATTTTAAAGGTATCTCTATTTTTTTAATCATAAGAGATTTTAGATAAATTCATCTCCTAGAGAGAAAAATGTTACCAATTTAGATAGATTCATCTAGAGAGAATAAAGATGTTAAGTGTTTCCAAAATATCTTTAAAAATTAGTTATGTGAATCTTATTTTAAAGGCAGAGAAAATGTTAAAATAATCCTATTGTCGGGGCACTTGGGTGGCTCAGTCAATTATGCATCTGACTCCTGATCTCAGCTAGGGTCATGATCTCAAGTTTGGGCGGATAAAGCCCCATGTTGGACTCTGCGCTGACAGCATGGAGCCTGCCTGGGATTCTCTCTCTTCCTCTCTCTTTCAAAATAAATAAATAAACTTAAAAAAAAAAAAAAAACCAGCCTATTATGATTTTCTTTTCTTTTCTTTTCTTTTCTTTTTTGAGTAACCTATAGAGTTTTCTTAAAAGTGGGATAAGACCCAGGCACCTGGGTGACTCAGTTAAGCTTCTGACTTCCACTCAGGCCAGGAACTCGCAGCTGGTGAAGTAGAGATCCGTGTCAGGCTCTGTGCTGACAGCTCAGAGCCTGGAGCCTGCTTCGGAATCTGTTTCCCTCTCTCTCTGGTCCTCCCCTACTCACACTCTGCTTTCTCTCTCTCTCTCAAAAATAAAATATTTAAAAAAAGGTGGGATTATACTAATGTAAGTGAACGATAGTTACTCTACTAAATGAAGCAGATTAGTGGAAATAACATAATTTGATAATTTAGCTTCCCCCTTAAAAAATTTTTTTAAAACGTTTATTCATTTCTGAAAGACAGAGCACGAGCAGGGGAAGGGCAGAGAGAAAGACACAGAATCTGAAGCAGGCTCCAGGGTATGAGCTATCAGCACAGACCCTGACGTGGAGCCCGAACCCACGACCAGTGATATCATGACCTGAGTCAAAGTCAGACACTCAACTGACTGAGCCACCCAGGTGCCACAGCTTCTCCCATTAAAAAAGAAAGCCACATAAAATAATTTAGGATCTGTTAGCTATATTGATTACAAACCAAATCTGGTATACAAAATACCTAATCACCTGTTTCCCTTCTAAGACATTCTTTAGATGTCTTTGTTATAACAGTTTTACCTATTTTCCCCACTTTTTGTGTACTTTGTTACCTATTATCAGAAGCCAATTGTGGCTGACAGACACTGAACACACTGATTAATAATTTTCTGATAAATCAGTATCAGAAAAGTCAGCATCTCTGAGATAAACCTTTATTTAAAAAAGATAAGACCATTGCTCCTGAATAGAAGAACTGGTTGCTTATGAAGCTTTTCACTGCATATGGTTTTGAATTTTGTATCAAATTTATGAAACACCATGCCCCCAACCTCTACCTCCCCCAAAACACATGCACACACACACACACACACACACACACTCACACACACACCCTTATACAATCTGATTGCAATCATAAAGTAAATACCTGTGTTTAAAGCAAGCTAATAGTTTCCCTGATGAGTTTGTCTACTATGGTTACAAGCCCTGGACCACACATCTATTTTCACAATCAAGAATGGTGTCTTGAAAGAAAGAAAGAAAGAAAGAAAGAAAGAAAGAAAGAAAGAAAGAAAGAAAGAAAGAACGCTTTTAACTGTAACGAAGAGGCATACACTCATATATGTTGTTAAACCATGAAATTAAAACTGAATCAGGAAGGGCAGTTTTTTGTTACTACTCTTCCAATACTACATCTCACTCTACTATAATAAAGGCCACAATCTATATTAATGCTTCCACCTAAAAATGAGCTCATAAACTGCCTCCCTCTTCATTATTATAAACAGTAAATATTTGTATTGGAACTTAAACTTTAATGTGATCACTAAAACAACTTTTCAAGTTATTTCCTTTAGCAGGACTAAGTCTAAATATGATAAATAATCTCATATTTAGAAATTTAATATTTCAGTTCCAACCAATATTTGTCGAAAAGGATTTAGAGTTGGCTGGGGCTTGGAAACTTGAAAAATACCTCTTTAATCTAAATTCCTGCAGTTCAGGGGCGCCTGGGTGGCTCAGTCGGTTAAGCGTCCAACTTCAGCTCAGGTCATGATCTCACAGTTCGTGGGTTCGAGCCCCGCGTCGGGCTCTGTGCTGACAGCTAGCTCAGAGCCTGGAGCCTGTTTCAGATTCTGTGTCTCCCTCTCTCTCTGACCCTCCCCTGCTCACACTGTCTCTCTTTCTCAGGAATAAATAAAACATTAAAAAAATTTTAAAAAGAAAAAAAAAGGAAAGAGAAACGTCTAAAAAAATTAAAAAAAAAATAAATTCCTGGAGTTCAGTATTTGTGCTTTCTCCCTTCATCTTGTACTGTTTACAACTGAATACATTTTAAACACTAATTTTAATTTTCGAGCATTAATTTATTACAAAGTCATTAGGAAAAGGAAACTAAGCGGTAGAAGTATGGAATCATTCATGTCTCCGCCTCCACCCACCAAAAATGAGCCAACCAGGAAAATCCAAGGCTGGTTCAAGGTTACAGGACCTCTAAGTTAAAGTCGAGTGGGGAAAAAAAATCCAGGTTCCCTACTATGGCTACATTTAATTTTGCAAGCACCAAAGGGTGGAGGCAAAGACCCCCCCACCAAAAACTGGGAAAGCACGTCTGGCCAGTTGGCACGCTAGAAGAAACGAAGGGGGCTCACCGCCAGGCCACAAACTCCCACAGCCCCGGCAGCTAGCAACTCTTGTGCCGCAAAGATAAAGGAGCAGCAACAGCAGCAGGCCCCAGGGGAGGAGACCGGAAGAGCACCAAGTTACCGGCCGCCAAATTGCTCTATCAGCTGCTACTAGGTCGCTGCGCCGATGATTCACTACCTCTCGCGAGGGTAGCGAGCCACCAACCCAGACGGGGCGTCTGGTACAGGCCCGCGAACCTCCGCCCAGAGTGATGGGCGCAAAGTCTGAATCCCTCAAATGCCGAACGCAGGAGACCCTCTCCCTCTGGAGACGCGGAAATGCATCCGGTCGGGATCCACCTCGCCCGGGGTCTCCTTGGTCCCCCAACTCAGCAAGCCGGGGCCGAAGGCTACCCTCACCGCGACGCCCCCGTTGTTTATTACCTGACGTTCCGGGTAGGCCCCTGCCCCGGAGCCGGGGTTCCGGCCGCTGCTGTCGACTTTGGACGGCATCCCGAAACCACCTTTCTCAGGACCCTCTGGCCGGTCCGAGCTGCCATGATCGTCTGAAGCCGGTCCTCACCTCCGGGACCTGGCCCTGGGCGCCGCCCTCCTGCGGCCCGCGGAGCCGCCCGGATCTGCCACCTTCCGACCAATCGGCAGGCCCCTTGAGCCGCCAGACACGCCCTCTCTTCCCACCCCGAAAGCTCATAACTGACGCAAGCTTCTGCTGCCATTAGGCCGACTGTAAATGCCTCGTCATCTTTCCAGCCAATCAAAGGAGCTCAGGGCCTCCTAGACACACCCCTCTTCCCTGGCCCAATTCCAGCTCCCGGCGCGCGCTCTGACGTCTTTTACGTAAGACTCACCGTGACCTCTCACTCCACCTCCCGCGCTAGAACTCTTCTCCGGATTCGCCAACCGCCAACGTTGTCTTAGGCGCTGTTTGAGGTCGCGAGGCTCCGCACGTGAGCCCAGCCCAAGGGCGGGAGGAAGTTTTAGGTTCTGGGTGTTCATTATATAACTGTCCAAACCGGTGAGTGCTGAGCCGGACTGCCATCGTTCCTGGTTGGGAAGTCTGGCCGTCAGTCTTGCTGTTTAATGATTGTCTAATACAGTACTTGCCGTGCTTACCCCGTGAGGTTGTTGCGAGGGCAATATAAGGTCATGTCCCTAGGGAAGGGACTCAGTTCTATATGCCTTCCTCTTGTGTGGCCAACATTTTAGTTGTTCGTGTATAAGTGTGGGTTTCCCATAGTCCAGACAAACCAGACAATTTTGCTTTAATTTACCCATTTCAGGAACCAGTCAGTCATCAGGTCTTGACATTCTCTTCTCCTCCGTTTGTTCCCAGGCCATTATTTAATCTTTGTACCTCAATGTCCTGTAAACTGGATAGCAGTACTACCTACTGAATACAGTTTTGAGGAGTAAATGCGATAGTTGATTAAATATAATCAACAAATGTGGGGCAAGTGTTATAGAAAAAAAATCAAGGTAAGGAGGTGGACAGGGGTAAGATGGGGTGCTATTCTATATAGGGTGGTCAAATGGGGCTCTGAGGAGGTGATACTGAACAAAGGCCTAAAGTGAGGACATGAACTATGTGAGTATTGGGGGGGGGGGAAATAACTCCAGGTGGAATAGCAAGTGCAAAGGCCCCAAACATAATACTGCCTTGTTTTATGAAGAACAAGGGCTTTGGATCACAGCGAAAGAGTAAGGTAAGAAATGAGGTCAAGGGTAGTGAGGACTTTATCATAGTGCCTGGGAGGCAATGGTACTAACTTTGGATTTTATTCTAAGTGTGAAGGGAAGTGAAGCAAGTTTGAGGGCAGAATAGTGACTTGATCTACATTCACAGAAATATTCCAGCTGCTGTGTGTATATAGGACAATTTTGAGGGTGATATAAATAATGATATAGGGAATTTGTTATTTTTTATTATTTTTCTACTCTTGCTTTGTTCATTGCAATCATCCCTTACTAGATGCTTTGTGGAATGATTTTAAATCACCAGCTACAACATTTATCAAACATTTTTCTATACAAAACATAATGTACTTGTTGAGGTGGTTGTGTAGCTGCATCCAAACGATTCTGTATTAAATTATCTTCAAATACACAATCCCTGCTACTCTGACTTTAATATTTCCAGTAATGTCTTCCTTAAAACACATTTTTATCAAATTAAACCTCTGCTCACAAACCAGTTGTTACCAGTTGTCTAAAAAATAATACGCATTACACTGCCACATCCTACTAAGTTCTATTTCAAATTATTGGTATAGTTAACTGGAAAGTCTTTTAAACATATTTATCAGTACATGATGTGCTTAAGTACTTAATGTAAGGTCTTGTTTGTTTGTTTATTTTGAGAGCGAAAGAGCGCACGAGTGAGTACGCAAGTGGGGAAGAGGTGGAGAGAGAGGGGGGAGAGAGAGAAAATCCCAAGTAGTCTCCGCACCATCAGCACAGCCTGATGTGGGGCTTGAACTCACGAACTGTGAGATCATGATCTGAGCCAAAGTCAGAGGCTTAATTGGCTGAGACACCCAGGTGCTACAACACCTTACTTTTTTTTTAATTATATATATTTTAGAGAAAGAGAACTCAAGTTGGGGAGAGGGGCAGAAGGAGAGAGAGAGAATCATTAGCAGGCTCTATGCTCAGCACAGAGCCTAATGTGGGGCTCAATCCCATGACCCTGGGATCATGACCTGAGCCAAAATCAAGAGTTGGATGGTCAACTGACTGAGTCACTCAGATGCGCAAAGGTTTTCTTTTATTAAATTTGCCAAACATTTTCTCATTCAACATGTGAAAATGTGAAAATAGACATGTGAAAATAGACATGTGAAAATACCTACTGAATTGGGTCACTCAATTAAGTAGTTTATCAATTTAAAAAAACTTAAAAACATTTTTTTAATGTTTATTTTTAAGAGAGAAACAGAGAAAGAGAATGAGTTGGGGAGGGGAGAGAGAGAGACAGAATCTGAAGCAGGCTGCAAGCTCTGAGCTGTCAGTACAGAGCCCAACATGGGGCTCGAGCACATGAACCATGGGATCGTGACCTGAGCTGAAGTCAGACACTTAACCAAGTGAGCCATCCAAGTGTCCCCCAATTTAAAAAAAAACTTTTAAGGCAAATAAAAGAATCTTTGTGATAGATGACAGTGTATGGTACTCATCTGACTTGTCAGCAAAGGAAATAATGTCATAAGCTTAAAGGTGATAATAAACTATGTTCAGTTTCAGTAGATGACAGTGCTTCCATAAATTAAGGGTCAAAAGGTCTATCAACATAAAAAGATTGGTAATAAAACTCAGCAGAGATCTATAGGAAGCAATATCTTAGAGTCCAAACAAACTATGTTGTCAAAAATCTATTTGACACAATATCACATATTAAATATTCTTGCCAAAATAATTGAATCTGAATCTGGTGAAGCTTTCAAATAAGCCAGTTTATACAGGGGATAGAAGAACACGTTAAATGACACCATGGAGATACAATCTGCCTAATAATATGGGAAATTTTATAGGACAAATGCCCCAATTTCTTCAACAAATGTCAAATAAGGAGGAAGGGGACAGGAGACTGAGGTCGATTTTTTTTTCCTTTGAGTATAGTTGATACACAGTGTTACATTAGATAAGTTGGATAAGTTTATGCATTATGGTATATTCACCATAAGTGTAGCTACCACCCATGCTGATTAGATTTAAAAGATCTAAAGAGAAAAAAAATAAAAGATTTAAAAAGGCATTATTTGGATTAAAAAAGTTTTTTTAATGTTTATTTTTGAGAGTGACAGAGCATGAGCAGGAGAAGGGCAGAGAGAGAGGGAGACATAGAATCTGAAGCAGGCTCCAGGCTTTGAGCTGTCAGCACAAAGCCCGCTTCAGATCCTCTTTCCCCTTCTCTTTCTGCCCCTCCTCTTGTGCATTCTCTCTCTCTCTCTTTCTCTCTCAAATAAACATTAAGGGCACCTGGGTGGCTCAGTCAGTTAAGCGTCTGACTTTAGCTCAGGTCACAATCTCATGGTTTGTGAGTTCGAGCCCCGCGTCAGGCTCTGTGCTGACAGCTCAGAGCCTGGAGACTGCTTCAGATTCTGTGCCTTCCTTTCTCTGCCCCTCTCCCACTCACACTCTGTCTCTCAAAAATGAATAAATGTTAAAAATAAAAAATAAACATTAAAAATATTAAAAAATCAAATGGCGAAAAATCCATATGAACAAGATATCAAAATATTAAAGACAGGGTCAATATTTCTGATTTTTCTTTTTGCCCCAGACTCAATATGGCTCAGCAAAGCACTGTTAGTCATGGTGGTTGTTCTTTACAGGCCTTTGGTGATAGTAGCAGATAAAGTTATAGAGCTGAGCTCCATGATAGCAATGGGATGATGGTATCCCCAAATAGAGGCCGCCTGGTGATGCTTAACTATCAGAAGCAAGGTGGGCACAATTATGATTAGCACAAGGTTGGAATGGCTTCCTGGAAGATCCTGACCTGCAGAATGATATTTAGATGGTTGATACAGTAGGATTTCCGTAGAGGCAAATTGATGGACAGTGTACAGGGGTATTATTCAATCTATTACAACCAAGGGAAATCAAGGGTGGATGTTCAGGAGGTTGAAGGCAGTTATTCCAGTTAGAAGCTAGATCATGTAACACCACAGTATGTGTTAATGAAATCCCCTAGTACTTCTCCAAAGGTACCTATCATTTGTTCTTGTAACTATACATTGGGAAAAGTGGAATAACCAAATATTTTGAGGGCTGTGTCCACACAGTGTCCAAGTTGACATTGATACCCAAAGTGTTATAGTGGCCTCTGTTAGAATGGTGGTTTATAGGGGCGCCTGGATGGCTCAGTTGGTTAAACATTCAACTTTGGTTCAGGTCATGATCTCACAGTTCATGAGTTTGAACCTCACATCAGGCTCTGTGCTGACAGCTCAGAGCATGAATCCTGCTTCGGATTCTGTGTCTCCCTCTCAGCCCCTCTCCTGCTCATGCTGTGTGTGTGTGTGTGTGTGTGTGTGTCAAAAATAAATAAATAAATTAATTAATTAAAAACATTAATAAAATTTAATTTAAAAAATTAAAAAGAATGGTGGTTTATAGGGTCATAAATGTTGTCCTGGCCCAAGTCTGGCTCACAATGCCAAGTATTATTTCTCAACTTGCTAAATGTATAATTGTGATGAACATAATTAGCAGTTGGCTAAACTCTCATATAGGTTCCATAGCCTATGGGATAAGAACATAGCAGGCAAGGATACTGAATAGCTCCCCCAACACCCTGCCAAGATAGTAAATAAATAAATGCTAGTATATCCTAGGAAATGTGGCAGAGATTAGTACCTTAAAGACCTAAAGCATGCAAGGATGGTGGTCCACATTATATTTACATTAACATCAGGCCCTTACAAAGGCTATACGGATCCTGGAGTATGACAGTAAATTATCACTTTCAGCCAGGTAGTAGCCTCAATTGCGGTTGCTGTGCCAGATGTGGTATCTAGAAAAGATTAAGAGATTAACATGACCTCAAGTACATGGTAGGCAAGTATTGATCTGATCAAAGAGTTGTTTCCCATCCCCAACAATAAGGAGGATTTAAAACAGTGTGCATTTTCTTGGTGTGGACAACCGTATACATTTTAAGTTTTATCCCTGAATTATGTTAACTCCCCCCTAATAGAGTCAGTCATAATAAGTATCATAATGTAGTCTTAAGCAACATGGACATCTGGACATTCAGTGAAACATTGGTCCACTATGTTGATGGCATTGTGTTAATCCTGTTAATAAGACTAAATGTTCAGGAAATGGTCAATACTTGGAGGGGTTGGAAAGACATATAGGCTCCAGAAGGTGGAAGATAAACCCAAAGAAAAGAAAGGGTCTGTCCCATTGGTGATATCTTTAGGGCAGGGTTTCTCAACTGTGGCACAACTGACAACCTAGGCTAGAAAAGTTCTAGTTTGGGGGAGCTTCCTTTGCAACATAGGATGTTGAGCAGTATCCCTGACCTCTAGATACCAGTAATCTCTCCCTTTACGTTGCTGTAGGTGTTATAGTCCAATTCAGGGAGATAGATATACACAGAAACAATGATAATACAAAGTAATTACTTAGATATATCTGTGGTATTTTAGGAGCATGGCACAGAAATATCAAAGCATACAATCTATATCTCCTAGGGTGAGGTTTCTGGCTGCGGTGATACTAGGCAAGTCTTACAGGATGAGAATTTAGCGAAGTGACAGAGAGTAGAGGAAATGTGGGGGTATAGGAAGGAGGATCCTCTAGGAAGAGAATAGACTTGTGAGAACCAAAAATGTCTCTAGACATTGCCAAAGTATCCCTGGAAGACAAAATTACCCCTAGCTGAGAACCACTGTTTTGGGGACATAGTGGCCTGGGGCATACCTGGACATTCCTTCCAAAGTATCGAACAACTATTGCATCTTGTACCTCCTACTACTAAGAAGGAAGCACTATGCTTAGTAGGTCTCTTTGGGTTCTGGGTGGCATCAAAAACTGAGCTTTGTATGGTAGCTATTGTTATTTATGCTATTGCCAATTTGTTGACTCTGGTACCTGCTGATTATACAACACCTATCATTGACCCAAGGACCCTAGTCTGCCCAACATTCCTTACCCTCCTTCAGAAATCCTATTTCTCTGGTCCTCATATACCACCTTCCTCTCCCTCCTACCAATTTCCTAGTTTAGCTAGTGACAACAGTCAGCCTATGGTGAATCATTAATGACAATGTTTTCTACTCTTAATGTACATCTATCACTGAGAATACAGTAGCAAAAACTATGTGGCTGCTCTCTCTGTATTAGCTAACAGAGGGGGAGTAAAGCAGGAAAGTTTGGAAGATACTTTGATTCAACATTTATTCATTCATTCATTCATTCATTCAACAATGAATTACTGTCAGGCACCTGTGATACCAACTCATCTCATGCCATTCTTCTCCCCCTTCCCCTTACTTCACTCTGGACACACACTTATTCCCACCTTGGCACAACATTTGCTCTTTCTATGTCTGGAATACTCTTCTCCCCAATCCTCATTCCCTTATTTCATTTAATATCTGTTCAAATGTCATCCTCTCAGAGATCTTGCCTTTTCTGTTCATCCTATTCATCCTTAAAAAAGTTTTTTTTTTGTTAGTAAGCAATCTCTATGCCCAACGTGGGGCTCAAACTCATGACCCTGAGGTTAAGAGTAGCATGCTCCACTGACTGAGCCAGCTAGGTGCTCCCATCCTATGCTTCCATCCTGCCCACTCCCCCCCTTATTGTGCTTTTTCTTCATATTGTTTGACAGTACCTGAAATTACACAAACACACACACACACACACACAGAGGTTTATTTTTTTTTAATTTTTAAATGTTTGTTTATTTTTGAGAGAAAGAGAGAGAGAGAGACAGAGCATGAGTAGGGGAGGGGCAGACAGAGAGGGAGACAGAATCTGAAGCAGGCTCCAGGCCCTGAGCTGTCAGCACAGAGCCTGATATGGGGCTCGAACTCACAAACCATGGGACTGTGACCCGAGCTGGAGTTGGAGGCTTACCCAACTCAGCCACCCAGGCGTACCCCCCCCCACACACACAGTTTTTAATCTCTTCCTCGAAGAATGTAAGCTCCATGAGGACTGCGTCTTTTCCAACATTGTATTCCCAGCATCTAAAATAATGTCTGGTAATTCTCCTACTGGGTATTTACCCAAAGAGTGTGAAAACACTAATTCTAAAAGATATATGCACTCCTGTGTTCTTGCAGCATTATTTACGATAGCCAAGATATGGAAGCAACCCAAGTGTCTATCCCTTATTAGGAGATGAATGGATAAAGAAGATGTGGTTGTATATATACAATGGAATATTACTGAGTCATAAAAAGAATGAAAGATTGCCATTTGCAACAACATGGATAGATGTTGAGAGTATAATGCTAAGTGAAATAAATCAGAGAAAGACAAATACCATGTGAGTCCATTCGTATGTGTAATTTAAGAAACAAAGAAAAAAAAAAACAAAAAAAACCCACAAAAAACAACACCCCAGACTCTTAAATATAGAGAACAAACTGGTGGTTACCAGAGGGAAGGTGAGTAGGTGATGGATGAAATAGGTGAAGGGGATTAAGAGTACACTTATTATGATAAGCACTGAGTAATGGATAGATTGTTAAATCACTGTATTGTGCACCGAAGACTAATAAAACACTGTATATTATACTGAAATTAAAAAAAGAACAAGTGATAACTACATACAAGTTATAGAAGACTGTAACTGGGATGATTCTATTTACATAAAAGTTAAAAAAAGTAAAATTAAACAATATACTTGATGATTACATACATATATAGTAAAACTATAAAGAGGGAATAATTAACACAAAATTCGAAACAGTGGATATTTCAAATACAACTGGTGGAGTGATAATTGAGGCAATGCACACTGAAGTCAAAACACTGATAATATTCTTGAGTAGTAGCAGCTGTGTGGGAATTTGTACACAGTCTTTGTGGATACAGTGTGCTTCATAATTAAAAATAAAATAAAATAATGTCTGGTATAGACTAGGTCCTCATTAAATATTTATTGATAGGTCCTCAATAAATATTTTTTGAACAAATGAATGGTGAAATTTACCTCTGGCATTTATATTGAGGTTTTAACTGGAGAAACACCAGTAGGAGATACATATTAAGAGATTTACTGCAGGGAACTGGGTTTATGCAGTTGTGGACACCGGCTAAGCAAGTCCAAAATCTGAGGAGCAGACCATCAGTAAGGGCAGGCTGGAACATTCCAGCAGAGGCTGAAGTTGCTAACCACAGGTAGAATTTCTTCTGCATCAGGGAAACCTAGATTCTGCTGTTAAGGCCTTTCAACTGATTGAATTAGATCTACCCGGCTTATCTAGGACAGTCTCAAAGTCAATTATTGTGAACTTTCAGCATATCTATAAAAGCCTTCATAGCAACACCTAGATTGGTATTTGTTTGAATAAGTAAGGACTGTAGGTTAGCCAAATTCACACATTAGAAGACATCACAGCGTTCCAGGTGCCTAATGCTTCTGTGCCACAATCCCTTAGCTGTTTGGGACACCTACTCAGACTTGATTTATATGTACTCTAACTAGATATTTTGCTAATATGAATCAGAGAGATCTCCCAGTTGACCTTTAACTAGAAAAAGAAGCTAGTTAATGAATTCACACTAAGATGTTAGAATTCACACTACTCTTCTATTCTAGCTAGGCCTGGTATACTTGGAAGGTAGAGAAATCCACCCAAGTTAGCTCAAGAAAATCAGTATTATTTAAAGAATGGGCCTTAATAAGGTTGGAGCTGGAGATAGTCTGGATTTAGGGTAGCTATGGGAACTTGAGCAGCAGGAGTTTATGACCCCTCAGTCTTAGTCATTCAAGTGACATTTTCCTTTGATTCTTTCTGTTCAATAGCAACCAGCAAGTTCCTATCATACTTCCAGTTCAGATTTCCAAGAGAAGGAATCTTGGCTTAGCCAGTAACTTCTATTTCTATGGGTAGAATTTCTTGTATTCTAGGCCAGGTTCTAGGTAACTGGCCAGGTGCCTATCTCTTCCAGGAGAGCAACCCAATGCTGTTTCCCTGAGCCGAGAGTTTGGTCAGTTAAGTTGAAGCTAGAAGGGAAAGTCAGGCATGACAGGCACGTTGATGGACATATTTAGAACATCATCTCAAGGTTATCTTTTTTTAACTGAGTAATGTATTAAAATTTCAGAAATAAGACTCTGTAGTTTTGGGATTTTAGGCATAACTGAAAGGGAGTTTTTGGATTTTTGGCCTCGAGTAGGTAGAATCTAATATTCCTTTGATATAGGAGAATTCTAAGAATCGCTGCACATCAAGATTGTGGGCCTGTTTATCCATGACAGTCCTTCTTTTACTTAAAAAAAAAATGGGCTGGATAAATTGTCAGTGGTTTTCCTATAGCATAGAACTTCACGGCCTTTATAGTTTTATCCTCAAAGGTAAGTTGAGCAAGTTACAGCTAGCATTCAACATTCTGCAAGATTGTTATATCTTGTTTTTTGTCCAGAAAAATTGTTTGCTTGCTACTTTGCAATATTTTTTTGAGACTCAGAAAAGCCAGCCTTCAAGTGCTCCTGATAAGAAAAGGAATGACGGCACCTGGCTGGCTCCATAAGTAGAGCATACAACTTGTGATCTCAGGGTCCTAAGTTCAGCCCCCACATTGGGTGTGAGCTTACTTGAAAAGAAGAGGGATAGGAGCACCTGGGTGGCTCAGTTGGTTGCATGTCTGACTTTGGCTCAGGTCATGATCTCACAGTTTGTGGGTTTGAGCCCCATGTTCGGCTTTGTGCTGACAGCGAGGAGCCTGCTTTGGATTCTGTCTCCCTCTTCCTCATGCCCCTACCCCACATGTATGTGCATGTGTGCTCTCTCTCTCAAAAATAAACAGTAAAAAAAAATTTTTTTTAAATACTTAACAAAGGGAAAAAAGGAATGGATTTTCCTATTCATTGGATGTCATCACTGTCAGTTTAGATTATAAAACCTAGATCACCTTTTCTAACTTTTGAAACAAAAAAGAAACCTCACCAGAAAAGGGCAGGAAATGTATTTTAACTGATCTGAGTATTATTTATTAATATTGAAAATGGAAAGTAAAAAGTGCTTATTAAAAAACCCTTGTTACTTATTGTCTGAATGTCCAAGTCATTGTTTTATTAAAGACTAATTAGTCTTTAGAAGAAGACTAAAAGAAGGGAATCTCCCTTGATACTTCAGCAAATTTTCTCATATCTTACTATCCCATATATGCCTTTGCCCTACAAAAGTATCCGAATACCAAGGAACTTAGAGAAATACACGTATAACACAAAGTGGCCAGCAGGTGCAGCTGCTATCTTGGAAAGACAAAGGACGTGTGATACCTACTTTGCAGATGCTTTTCACTTATTTAATACGTTTCTTGTGTGTGTTCATAAAAATAATATGTGCTTTTGGCAGAATGTCTGGAAAAATACTAAAAATTATTTTTTAAATTCATAATTTCATCATTCATAAACATCCACTATTAACACTATAGTAAATTTCCTTTGTATATATTTTTACAGGACAGTAATTGCCTTGTATATACAAATTCATCTTTCTTTTTTTTAAAAGAAAGTAGAGTCACGAAATGCAATATTTTTGTAATTCTTTTTGTCAATGTGGATGGAGTTTTTTAGATTATTGATTATTGATGGATAATACCACCCTTCTGTAATTCCTTATTTCCCATTATTTTTTCCTTTCATTATTTAAACATTTTTAAAATTTTTAAAAATCTATTTTTGAGGGGCACCTGGGTGGCTTAGTCGGTTAAGCGTCCGACTTTCGCTTAGGTCATGATCTCGCAGTTTGTGGGTTCGAGCCCCGCGTCGGGCTGTGTGCTGACTGCCAGCTCAGAGCCTGGAGCCTGTTTCAACCTGTGACTCCCTCTCTCTCTGACCCTCCCCTGCTCACGCTGTCTCTCTTTCTCTCCTAAAAATAAATAAAACATTAAAAAAAATTAAAAATAAAATAAAATTCTATTTTTGAGAGAGACGGAGCATGAGTTGGGGAGAGGCAGAGAGAGAGGCTACAGATTCTGAAGCAGGCTCCAGGCTCTGAGCTGTCAGCACAGAGCCCAATGCAGGGCTCGAACTCCTGAAAAGAGAAATCATGACCTAAGCTGAAGTGGGACGCTTAACTGAGTCACCCAGGCACTCCTCCTTTAATTATTTTAAAACATGCTATTTCGTACATATAAAAGTATACATAATCTATGTTTAGGTTATAAACAATGTAAGGAATATCTGTGGGCCCTCTTCCAATTCAACAACTAGAGTTTATCGATAATTTAATAACCTACATGTTTTCTCTCATCCTTTCTCCCCCAATTATAACCTAAATTAAAACAATTAAATTAAGAGTTGAAAATTTCATCTCATTAAATTGATTTTTTTTCACTGATTTGTTACTAAGGTTCTACTAAGTATGTGTTGTGAGTCCATCACACAGCCAGGTAAACTTTTCTTTGTGAAGACTCTAACCTTAATCCTTACCTGTTTTCCTAGGCTGCTTCCTGTACCAACTTCCCTTCTCAGTTATGTTCTTTTTGAATTCTAAAGTCCAAGGCCAGTGTTGACACTTCAAAGTTATACTAGTGTAATGATGCATAGAAAAAGACAGCCATAAAATTAACAACTCAGGGAACAACAGATGTTGGCGAGGACACGGAGAAAGAGGAACTCTTTTGCAATGCTGGTGGGAATGCAAACTGGTGCAGCCACTCTGGAAGACAGTATGGAGGTTCCCCAAAAAATTAAAAATAGAATGATTGGCCCTATGACCCAGTAATTGTACTACTAGGTATATTTATTTATCCAAAGGATACAGGAGTGCTGGTTTGAAGGGGCACATGCACCCCAATGTTTATAGGAGCACTATCGACAATAGCCAAAGTATGGGAAGAGTCCAAATATCCATCGACTGATGGATGGATAAAGAAGATGTGGGGTACATACACACACACACACACACAATGAAATAGTACTCAGCAATCAAAAAGAATGAAATCTTACCATTTCAACATCATAGATAGAACTAGAGTGTATTATGCTAAGGGAAATAAGTCAGAGAAAGACAAATATTTCATTCATATGTGAAATTTAAGATATAACACCAAGGAACATAAAGGAAGGGAATGAAAATATAAAAACAGAGGTTGACAAACCATAAGAGACTCTTAAATACAGAGAACAAACAGG